ACGAACTAAGCAGTCAAAAACTCTGCATGCCTCCACCTGTATGTAATGGACTTAAACTGGATGTTTCGACAGATTGTGTTTCAGCTTTTGTACACTAAAACCTTGTAGCACTTGTGGTAACTGGCATTATCAGCAGCAACTGAAATGAACGGTAGCTAACCATTTGACGGTTTAATTGTAATTATTATTATTGCAAGAAGCAAACTCTCACTTTTATTTCATTGGTTGGTCCTGGACTGTCCCAAAAGGGATAAATATAAATATAAATGTAAATTTAACGATATCAATGATAAACATAAATATACACCTGTGTGTTAACTTTTCATTAACAGGTATTGGGTGAGCAGTGCAGATTGTTTTGACCTACTGTTCTGTTGTGTGTCAGGATGAGGACATGGCTCTGCAGCAGGAAGACGATGGGGACGACATGGTTGACGTGATCTGGCGGCAGCTCACAGGCTCATGCCCCTGGCTGGGAGAGGCAGGCCAGCTTGTCACAGATGGTCTGATTCGAGTTTGGAGACAGGTGGTGGACCGCATCTTTGGACTGTACCGCGTCTCCTGCCAAGCCTATTTTACCTTCCTTAAACTCAATGCAGGACAGGTGAGACGTGGAGACAGCATCTGCTTGATTGTTAGGGACTTCGCTGTATAAACCTGAAGACAAAAAGCAGTATTTTGCTGTTTGAGGACCATGACTGGGAATAAGGGTAGCCTTCTGGTCAGTCCTTCATCCTGACTGTCTGTTGTGTGTTTTAGGTCCCTGTAGATGAGGATGACCCCAAACTCCTGCTGTCCTATCACAATAGCAAACAGAGCAATGACGATGTAATCGTCATGGCTACCCTGCGTCTCCTACGTCTGCTGGTGAAGCATGCTGGTGAACTGAGGGAGGGGCTTGAGCTGGGTTTAGCTTCGACCCCTACAGCACCCTGGAGGGGTATGTCACACTGCAAAATGTGCATACACTAATTGTTTCTTTGCATGCAAACAGTGTTGGTTGTGTTCTGTTTTTTTTTATCCTGCATCCCATGTGCACAGAAGTGTAATTAGATTTGCAATTGAAATTGGTCAGTCAATTCGGTGTTTTTGTAGGTTATTAACTCTCTACCTTTAGATCCCTCTTGTGGAACATTAGGCGTCTATCACAAGTGCTGGTTAGACAGTTAAACAGCTGAGGAAACCTTCCACCCTTCCAAGAAGCTATATACAACAACTTCTGCAATTTTTCCAAAACTGACAATCCAAAATTCACACCCACTTCATTCAGACACTTGCCAGGTGTGTGGAAGTGAGACAGTGAGCAGGCTTTCCCTCTGAGTCCAACACCATCAAGGTTTTCCAGAAGATACTATCTGAAAATGTGTGGTTATGTCTTCATGCACAGTGGCAAGAAAAAGCATGTGAACACTTTGGAATTTCCTGGTTTTCTGCTTTATTGGTCAGAAAATGTTGTGTAATCTATGGGCAAACACATCGTCATCAAGCTACAAACATGCAAACAGTTACAATCTTTTGTGACTTTAGCATTCATACATTTAGAGTGCTGTAAGTGAAATTAAAAGAGATTTAATAATGGTTCGTAACTCCTTTTGCAGCAGTAACTTTAACTCGTAAGTCGTAATATTACAGCTCTCTTGAGGATGTTTCTGTTGCGTAAGCTCTGACATGTCCCCTTTAAAAGGGCAGACGTTCTTGTTTGAATTCATTTCATAGTAGATTTACATCTACATGTTTAAGGTCATTGTCCTGCTGCATCACCGGCTGCTACTGAGCTTCAGTTAGCAGACAGTCAGCCTGAAACGATCTCTAAAGTACCTTCCTAAACCTTGGAATTAATTTACTCCCGAAGATGGCAAGTAATCTAGTCTCGGTGGCAGCAAAGGGGCCCCTGATCATGAAGCTCCCTTCCATCATATCTCACCTGTAGGATGTTATTTTTATGCTGGTATGCATTGGCCTTTTTGCACCATTTGTAGTGTTGTAACAAAACAAAAAAACATTTTCCAATAACATTGTGATGTGTGAAGCTGTTCTTTGGCAAACATCAGACATGGTTTTGCAGAGCAACAGCGTCTGTGGCCTTGTATCATGGACCTATGCACGATTAATGTTTTGGGTATGGTAGAAACATTAAGCTTTAGCTGTTTATTTTGGGCTTCTTGTTTACCTCTACTTTTTACATTGTGCCTATAGAATTACTTTTGCTGGGTTTTCTCTTTTAGCGAAAGTAGCCTCAGTACTAAGCTGCATCCATTTATAGACTGTTTGTCTCACTGTGGTCAGATGAATATCTAAATTCTCTGAAACTCATTTATAACCCGTTCCACTTTAATGAAAGTCAAAATTTCTTCACTATAAGATTTGCAAGACATGGTTCATGTCAACAGGCGCTGTTGTAAAAGGCAAACTCAGAACAAACTTTAAATGTTTAATGTTCAAGTAAAAATTGCTGTAATACACACCTTGCATTTCAGTGATTGGGCTGTTGGTTTGGTAACTCTCGATTTCAGTCAGCCAAACTGTTTGATGTCTCCAATATGGGCATGTAGTTATTAGTAGTTAAAAAAGACACAGTTGGCTTTGCCATATTTTGGGACAAATTTATACATAAATGATAATTCCAAAGGATTCACTTTTCTTGCTAATGCTAAGCATTTTTTGTGTCCTTTACTGTCCGTGACTAGTGTCTGCCCTATCCTATCTTTCAATTGTAGCTGTTAAGAAAAGCTGTCAACATATATGCTCTCTAACAAGGTCTGACTACACATTGTATGAAGTAATCATTTTTTTGGCATAACCTGGACCTGCTACTTTTTTTTATATAATGTTCACTTTTGTCCTCTTTAGGTATCATCCCCCAGCTCTTTTCCCGTCTCAATCATCCAGAGGCATATATCCGGCAGAGCATATGCAGCTTGCTGTGTCGAGTTGCCCAGGACTCCCCACATCTTATCCTCTACCCCGCCATTGTAGGCTCACTTTCCCTGGCAGGGGAGGCTCAGAATGCAGGTATTCTTGAATTCTGCTGACCTGAGTTTGTGCAATTCATTGTCTCAAAAATTCCTTTTCACTTGCTCATCCATTTGACTTGAAGTAATTAATTCCTATGACTTTATGCAAATTCAAAAAATGGAATGTTTAATTTTACTACAATTATCAGTGGAGCAAATGATCACCATTGGAAGGATTGACTCCAGCCTGTACCTTTTGCTGTGTCTCATCCCCTCTCTCTCTCCTTCTCATCTTTCTTTCTTCAACTGTCCCTTTGACAAAGGCTAAAGGCCCAAGAAATAATCTTAATGATGATGTTGCATCAAAATGAAAATCAATTTAGTGTCCTTAATTTTAGTAAGCCATTCAAGCACACAACCTCAGCAGCAGGACACCACAGACACTGACTCTGGAATCCTCCTGGAAAAGAGTCATGTTTGCAGTTGGTCTCCCAGCAAGAAAAAGCAAATCTTGCAAGTTTTTACTCCTTTTGTTTGTGTCCTTCCATTATGTTCGTTTGTTAAGTTTTACATTATGTATGTTTTGCTTCAACTAGTAGAAAGAGACATGCGGTTCCACACATGTTTCTCTTTTCTCAAAAATGTATCCATAAATTCGTAGACAAGACTTTTGAAAGGGCCTAAAGGAAGGTGTGCGTTTGGCTGTTGAGTTTAAGAATGGCTTAACTCACCTTTAATTATACAACGCAATATAAATACTGCAGATCTGTTAATAGTTGATGAAATGTGTTGACAGGAAGCAAATTGCCATCAGGTCTGCCCACCTTCTTTGGAAGCATGCAGAGAGAGGACCTGATTGGGGAGGAGGAGGAGCAGCTGGACAGTGGATTGCAAGGAGGACCTCCAGAAGAGCTGTCAGCCTACTCCAGTCAAGACCAAGCCATGATGCAGGACTGCTATAGCAAGATTGTGGAGAAGCTTTCTTTAGCCAACCCTACCATGGTGCTTCAGGTAGGAACTAACTGCACAGTTAGACTACCCTGTTAGGTTGACGGATGTAGTACCAGTCCATAGAGTGTATATAAAAGATGGCTGGATTAGAAGGAAGGCAGATTTTCATACCTCACTTTTCTGACCTAGAAGCTACATTCATCTTTTATATATTGACTATTTACCATTTTCATGATAGAAGCATTCTCGTTTGTACAGGTTTTTAACATGCACTCTATTAATAGCCTCTCAAAAAAGACATAGTCAGACAGAGCACAATTATAGGGCTTTATGTTGCTTATTATATATAGTCAATAGCTGAATGGGCGAACCCATATTAAAAGGCTGTTCCGACATATAGCTAAAACTCAGCTAGGACTGAGCAGTATAGGAGGTTTTACGATATATTGATACATTGTCAAACGAGATCATATCTTTTTTTATTTTTATAGTTTCATGTTGCTTTATATGACCCGTTCATTCCAGAAAGAGGTGGCAGTGTTTGCAGCTTTCCCTCACACTCTCACACGCAAACCTGGTACCACTTACTCATAAGTTCTCTTGCAGCATAAAGGGAGACGCAGTGCTAATCTGACAATAACCTATCAATATAAAATGCAACAAATACATTTTAGAGAGTTAAAACAGAACCCTCTGAACCCCAAACAGTTTTTAGGAGTTTGTTGCATCTGTAACATTTTACATTTACTTACTGTGAATTTGTTTATGACTGCAGCATAAAGTCTACTCAATGTAAGAGCAGCCTGCTGTTCTGCCCAGCTTAATATCCATAATTCCCAGATGGATAATAGTGATTTTAAACATACTGATTTGGTTGGTTTTCCTAACAAAATTCACATATGATTACCATTGGACCATCAAAAAGTTCAGACAGTGCTTTCTGTTCTTACTGTTTCTTACTATTGTAAATGATGTCGTTTTCAAATGCCTTTCAAACCCACTGTTATCTTTTGGGGTTTAGAGGGTTGTTAAAAGTGCTTCAGGCATTTCACACACGGCTTTGACTTACAACAAAAAATGTATCCCACATTGCGGAAAATGCAGATGTATACTGTGTATCACAGAGAACTACCAAGAACTAATTGTTTGTCCATATTGCTCAGCCCTAAAATCAGCTGTAAGCATTCCTAAGGTTCAACTGTTATCCTATTTATTTAGTGCTTTTTGTAGTAAAAATAATGTCATTGTGATTGATTTTTAATGTATTGTTAATAGTTATTTGAATGCATAATACATTTGAGAAAACCCCAGAAAACAGCAGCTGGAAGTCTACCACAGCACTGTTACACTGCTGGTATAATAGACAATATAAACACACTTACGCTTTAGCTACATGCCACGAGTAAGAAGCACAGCAGCATTTCACCAGGGGAAAGTGACTTTTCTGCTCTAAATGCGTAGTCGTGGGTGTCATCATGAAACCAAATCGATCAAGTATAAATCACTGCGTTTTGGTCTGTACATTTTCTCAAAGTAGAGGACAAGTAATTTACAGAGCAGGTATGTACAGTACCAGTCAAAAGTTTGGACACATCTATTTGTCCTTAGCATGTCGATGCTGTCAGGTGGCTTATTTATCATATCATTGTTCCCACACATTTAAAAACTAGATAACATTTAGATTCATTCATTTTTCTGAAACACATCAGTCATGCTAGCTTTTATTCTGCGTGACTGAGAATGGATCCAATATTTACCCTGGGGTGCCATGACCAAAGCATTTCTTTTAAAATGATGTTGTGGTCTTTAAAGTGTGGCAGCCACTGATCTAAAGAACCTGTCCTGTGTGCTGTTCAGGTCCAACAGCTGGTGGGTGAGCTGCGCAGAGTGACCTTACTGTGGGATGAACTGTGGCTCGGTGTGTTGCAACAGCAGCACATGCATGTCTTGCGTAGGATCCAACAACTGGAAGACGAGGTCAAGAGAGTGCAGAACAACAACACATTGCGCAGGTGAGACTCACCTACCTACAGGACTTCCGAATCTGCTTTTAACCTAGGGGTCCATCTTCTGCTTTATCAGTTAAAAATAACAGGCTAAAAGGAGGTACATTCATCAGTGGCTTCCTTGCTTGACAGCCTTTATGAATCCTTTATATTTTTTTTCCTCCATTTTAATTCTGATCCTACCAATGGTTTAAAACTGCAATGCTGTATGTAGTTCTTGGTAATTAAGAGTTTAGGCAGGAGCACTGCTGAAACCCATTTGTTTTAGGTCTCATTATTGTCATTTGAGGTTCAAGTACCAGTAGTATTGGAACCACTTGCTCACCAGTGTTACCCCCGTACTCTAAAAGCTGTGTGAGGTGCCTCACTGTTTCCTCTTTTTCATGGTCAGTGGAGAGTGCCGATGCAATACCAATACAAAATGATTTGTTTAGTGTTTTACAGTGAATATTACTCAGTGACTGTACATTAGAGGTTTTCATCAAGTCAGCTATTTTTATATTATGCACAATTGTTTGTCTTGTACATTGTGTTTGAGAGTTGGATTATGTGCATCTTTTAGAGACGGAGGTATTTCTTTTGAAGTAGAGAGCAATATTTCACTCGTGTTTGACCAAAATGACTGTTTTCAGTAACCCCTTCCACTACCACTGTATATGTTGGTCCCAAAAAACTGGCACTGACACTGCGTCAGAGGAAAAGTAACATATTAAAAACACCATTTACAAAAGCCCTCCTACCACCACGACAAACCAGTCATCTGATTTGCACAGACTCTCCCAACAGCCCGTGGCAACACAAAGCATTCTGAAGCTCATTTCTTTCATGCGGTCATGCATCATTGCAGTGTATTGAGATACTTTAATTGTCACAGAAGCAGGTTTACCCTGGTAACCAAACATTCTGTTGGAAATCTAGCTCGGTATTTTATGATAGGAGATGTAACTCACTCCTGCGCTGCTTGAACTAAAAATCCATTACACCTGGACCAAATTAGACACCACAAACAGTCTGCATGGGCTAGTGACCCATCATTTATGACTGAAGGCCCTTTTACATTAAGGTGGTAAAACTGAATAAAAGTGGTGAGGATGCCCACATAATTCCCTCATCAGTGAGAGGTGGGACTAGAAAGCCAGTTAGGTGTGGCCCAGGTATAGGAAAAATTACAAATTGTAGGCACAGGGGAAAGATTAATTGGCAACATCAGCACATTTAGCTAGTGATGACCTAGCACATCCACTCCTAATGTTCAGCCAAAAGGGTACAGAGGACACTGCATGATTCATACCTCACTCATGTTTCAGAGAAGCGGGGTTAACTTTTTAACCTAAAGTTCCAGTCATTGCTTGGCTTTTTCTTCTTCTTTTTTTTTTTTTGAAACAAGGAAAATCTGCTAACGTTAAATGAAGACACTTTACACAAAGATTTTTTGGGAGCAGCCAGGGCATTCCCAATTCTAAGTTTGGGTTACAACTGAATGGTGTCATTTAGTCTCTGTTACAGCAGCAGCAGGGCTCAGAAATGTCAGAAAGAGGCGCAGCCAACATTGTTAGTTATCTTAACCCTATTCAGGACTTTCATATTGCCATACGTAGAAGGTCTTTGGGGGTTCATTGGACCCCAAGAAAGAATATGTGCAAAATAAATGTTGGTATTCATTATAGACTTTCATATGATGTTAAATAAAAATTTTTGATAAGTTGAAATATATTTGGCTCCAAATGCATGACAATTGCCCCTGTTTTTGTATTTAAAAATAAAATCTTTAAAAATCAAAAAACAATACCTGTCACCTAAATCAAATGGCCTGGGGTCCAACAGACCCCAAAAGTCCTGAATAGAGATAAAAAGAAGCAATGTGAGGGTCAGACCAGTGAACCCAGACAGGTTCAGGGGGACAGTTCTGATGACAGGCTTCCAAAGCAGGGCCAGTCCAGTAGCTGTAGCCCATCATCAGCACCAGTTGAAACACAGAGCAGGACAGACAGACATTCCTCAGAGCAAATGAAGAACATTGTTAATATAAAAGAGGAGAGCATTGTGTTTGTGTGTATTTACATGTATCATTTTAATTTGCCTGAGCTGCAGGGTGGCGCAGTTGGTAGCACTGTTGCCTTGCAGCAAGAAGGTCGCTGGTTCGCGTCCTAGTGGGACACACACAGAACAGATGGGGAGATGTTCACTGAATTTGACAAAAATCTCATTGGATTAGAATTGCTGGTACTACCTTCAATGCTGCTCGGATGGAAAGGTGTCAGAAGACACAATGCATCACATCTTGCTGTTTGTAGAGCTGCCTCGTCCCAGACTAGTCAGAGAGCTGCTGCTGACCCTTGTCATCTAGCAAAAGCGAAGTGCACATGAGTCTCGTAATATCAGTGGAATAAGGTGGCCTGGTCTGATTAATCAGGGGTTGGTTGGTAGTTTGTGTGTTTGTCTGGCACTTATGTAGCAGCCTGTTCGGTATCAGAAGCTGGCCTGCAGGGAATCGCAGAAGCCTATAGCAGTCTTGGACTTTCATTAGACTGCACCAAAATGGAAGTTATGTATCACCTTGTGTGTGATACTATCTCAGCTGCCATTCACCCTGAAAGCACTGTGAATGGAACTGTCCTTAAAGTATTCCCACATTCCAAGTATCTTGGCAGTTACATAATCAGTGATGTCTTCCTTGATTGAAAGATTAACAATAGGATTCGTGCTGCTGCAACAGTTTTTGGAATGCTACATAAATGTTTGCGATAATCAAGAACTCCAGTTGAATAATAGATACAACACTACCAAACTGTCATTATGCCAACATTCTTGTATCGTTCTGAAACATTGACTATGTACCAGTTCCATATAAAACAACTACAGAAGTTTCATCAACGATATCTATGTACAATCTTGAATATGAAATGATTTGATCATGTCACCAGTGCTAAGGTACTTGGCAGGTGCTCTGTGACAAGCATCGAAGCTATGTTACATCGAAACAGATTATGATGGCATGGACACTTTTTGTCTACCTAAACAGCTTCTCTTTAGCCAGCTATCCTCAGGAACCAGAGGGATTTAAGGATATCCTCAAAAAGACCTTTAAAGACTTTGAGATTGGTAATTGGGATACAGCTCCACTGGACAGACTAGTGTGGAAGAGAGCAGTTTGCAATGGTGTGAAGTCTTCTCAACAGGAGGAAGAAGCTGAGGAAGAGAGACAAGCCAGACAAAAGGCTGCTGAGACTCTAAATGTGGAACAGCTTCCTGGGTCGATGCCTAAACAAAACTTATCTAGACTGCCATGCTTTTGTCGAGTGGCGATGAGGATGATGATGATGATGATGATGATGATGATGATGATGATATGTGGCTGTTCCTTTGACATATACCACCTATCTAATAATTGTTGCAGGTCACTTACATATTATAGTAGTGGTGTTCCCTGATGGCAGTAGTCTCTATCAACAGGATAATGTATCCTGCCACACAAACATTGTTCAAGAATAGCTTGAAACATGATAAAGAGCTCAAGGTGCTGACTTGACCACCTGAATTACGCAGATCTAAATCAGATTGAACATTTGTAGGATGTGTTGGGAAAAAATTTGTTTTGTCTATGGATTCCCCACCTTGCAACTTACAGGACATGACCCTATGAACCACGGGCTATTTTCAGGGTAGTTTTACTACTTTGACTTTTAAGCTCTTATCTTGGTCATTACGAGGGCCATACACATGTTAGAGGTTTTTGTTTTTTTGGTTATTTTTTAGAGTAGTATAGGTTTTTGAGATATTCCATCATTTGATGTAACACTTGCAGATTTTTTCTGTTGGCCTATTAATACGAAGCAAAAAACAATTCATATTAGAATTTTAAGTTTTTACATGGATCTTATCATAAAATGTATAAAGTATATATTTGCATTACAAGTAGATGTATTGTTTAGGAAAACAGGCTCAGCCATCCAAAAGACCATATCATTTTTATTTTATTTTTTTTTGTACTCTTGCACTCTGCATTTGCTTGCTCCTCTAACAGTCACAATCTTTGCTCTGCTGCAGGGATGAAAAAATTGCCATTATGCGTGAGAAGCACTCTGCTCTGATGCGTCCTGTGGTTTTTGCCTTGGATCACGTCTGCAGCATCACAGCAGCTCCAGCACAGACACCGCATGAAACCTGGTTCCAGCAGACCTATGGTGATGCTATAACCTCTGCATTGGAGCGTCTTAAAAACCCTGCCAACCCTGCCAACCCAGCCAGTAGTTGGCTTCCCTTCAAACAGGTCGGTGGTCACTTGTATGCACCGTTATATAGGTGTTTTATTCATTATGGATTTCAGACAGATCCAGTTGTACAGATGTAGGCTTATTAATACTTGCATACATGCCTTTTCTATATAATGTTAATTCAAACACAATGAATAAAATGGTCTTACCAGCTTAACTAACATGGTGTGTATGTTGGTTAGATAATGGTGAGCCTTCAGCAGCGTGCTCAGAAGCGTGCCAGCTATCTGCTTCATCTGGATGAGATCAGTCCTCGCCTGGTGTCAATGAGCACAACAGAGATGGCCCTACCAGGCGAGGCATCAGCATCAGACGCTGTTACTATACAGAGCGTAGGCAACACCATCACTATCCTTCCCACCAAGACCAAGCCGAAGAAGCTATTTTTCTTGGGTTCAGATGGCCACAACTACCCATACCTTTTTAAAGGTAGGAAACCCTGTTACAGCAGTGACTCTGGGTTCGATTTTTTTAATAAAATGTATCCCTTTTGTAAAGATGAAAAAAAAAATACAGTTCTCAAAAAGGATTCTGTTGGAGTAGCATTTATTGCAGCATGGATTTCTGAATAATAACATTTGCATTGTTTGCACTTTTATCGTAAGGTAAATGAGAATGTTTTTAATTTCTTAAGCTGGATGTATTATGTTATTAGCTGTGCTAAGAAGGTATGCCTTACCTGCTGCATCTACATTTATTGGCTGTATCATAGGCTTGGTCATAGCTAATGTGCTTTTTAGGGCCACAGCTGTGCTGTGTACAAACTGTGCAAGGACCTTCATGAAACTTTACTGTTTATTTAGGGCTAGGGCACCAATTGACATTTTTGCCCAAATTGTTCGATAGCACCCACAAAATGTTAGTCCACACATAAGGGTTTCACCTACTTGTACTAAATTTGGCAGGTACATGTATTATAACATCACCAGACTTGTGAAAAACCCCCCTTGGAGTCATGCTCGTAGTCCCAAAGAAAGTCAGCCATTTTGAATTTACTGTGCCATTTTTTGCCACCTACAAGTACAAAATAATAATGACTAATAACAAGAATAATCTAAGACTTACAAAAATGCCCATTGGAGCCATACCCTAAACCCAACAGGATGTCAGCCGGTTTGAATTTCCTGTGCAGTTTTTGCACAGTTTTTCCCAGGCATTCTACTTTAACAAGCTCCTACTAGACAATTCACCAGAAAAACTTTGGTTGGTATCATCTAAAGACTGCTACCATTGCCATTAAAGTAGAAGTTGTTTAACTGCATTGTACATTGTTGAATCTACTCCAAACTACACATATTTTATAAAAGCCCTGGCCGGATCATATCCATCCATCCATCCATCATCTATACACTGCTTAATCCTCACTAGGGTTACGGGGGGCCTGTCCCAGCTGACTTAGAGCGATGGCAGGGGACACCCTGGACAGGTCGCCAATCTATCACAGGGCTACACTTAGAGACCAAGCACACTCACATTCACACCTACGGACAATTTAGAATCACCAGTTAACCTCAACATGTTTTTGGACTGTGTGGGAGGAAACCGGAGAACCCACGCTGCACAGGGAGAACATACAAACTCCACACACTCCTCACTCCTCACTCGTACATCCTCACTGGGATGTGAACCAGCACCCTTTTGCTGCAAGTCAACGATGCTAACCACAGAGCCATTTGCAGCCCCTGATCATATCCACAGTTTAATATTTAGTTATAGTCAAGTGCCAGCCATTGGCCACAGGAAGACAGCCTTGGGTGAAAAACATAATCTAATATTTAAGAAATTTATATTGTGTGTTTCACACATGATATACAGCAGGGATCTACAACTCGGGTCCTCCTAAACTACTGTCCTGCAGGTTTTAGATGTTTCCGTACTGCAACACACCTGACTCAAATTAATGGATCTCCACAAAGCTTGTTGTCAAGTTGGAGATCCCTGATATACAGCAACACAACATATAATTAGTGTGTGTTCTCTAACACCTCATAGTGGACACAGGAAGTTATATGTACCTTCTTTTTGCAACATCCAATAAGACCTCATATGACATCTTCATGTTTATAACAAAAACCCCTTGACTGCAGCTGCCCTGACATGCACGACAGTGCTGGGATGTACTCATTGCTGCTGTCAGCTTTAATTCGGAAATGGGACTTTTTCAACCACGTCTGGCCTTGCCCACAGAGGATAGCATGATAGCAGATGGGGAAGAAACAGGAGCATGTACAAATTGATTAGTGTCCATCCTAGCACAGAATCCCACAAAACTACATGACTAATCCATGTGTAATCCATTACAATAAGTTCAATGACTCAATATGATTTAATTAATAATTACAATGGACTGCTCTGGGTGTTGATATAGAATGATACAAAAACTATGTTTACCCTGATAGACCTTTTTCACAGCTGTGTGATTGCTGCATTCAACTTTGGGAAGGTCTTGCTTTTGTCAATGACTGTTTGTGGTTGTGTCTTTCTGGGACATTTAATGGAACTAAGCCATCATTATTGATTCTACAATTCTACAATTTCGTTTGGCAGATGCTTTTATCCAAAGCGACGTACATCTGAGAGTAGAAAGACAAGCAAGGATCTAGACAGATGCCTAGTGCTAGTTGATGGCTATGCTTTCTCTGCAGTAACAAGTCAATATATAGACTGTAAAAAAGTTCAGTGGAATTTCAGAGTTTGGAAACTACTACTATAGGATAATGTAGCTGCACTGTAATGTGGGACTTAACACCTAAAAAACTAATAATTTGTCGATCTGCGGGAGTAAATAAATTTGTTAAGGTTTTAAGAGATTTTGTGATATAAAGTTTCGACCTAAACCCCTATTAAATGGTTGTGAATATACTTTAGTTTGTAGTGTTGGCAGTATTAAAGATTCAGCAGCGCCACCTGTTCCCCAAAAAGTTTTAATTGTGGCTACTTAGAGTTCATTATCAACATTTTTCATGGGGCATAATTCATAGACAGTCGTTTTAATAAACTGTTTAGTCACATCCATGTACTTGGAAATTGGCTGCATAGTTAACTCAAAACCTGTCTGATATAGTACCAACACTGATTGTAAGCTCTGCTGTCCGTAGCAACACTGCTGCACTGAGACTGCACATGTATTGTGACGAGTCATGGATTTAGTTTTAGGCTTTTGCTATTTTGTTGAATTTTCTTGTCCTGTTTCTTGCATATAAACAATTTATAAACTAAAACTACTTCAACCTAAGCTTAGTCTCTTTAAATGTTTACCACTTGCTCCATTTTTATCGTTGACAAGTCGTAATCAAACAGTGATTACAATCTCTCTCAGGTCTGGAGGACTTGCATTTGGATGAGCGCATCATGCAATTCTTGTCGATTGTCAACACCATGTTCACCAAGATCAACCAGCAGGAGCATCCACACTTCCATGCCCGCCACTACTCTGTTACACCTCTTGGAACCCGTTCAGGGCTTATCCAGTGGGTGGATGGTGCCACGCCACTCTTTGGCCTCTACAAACGCTGGCAGCAGAGGGAGGCTGTGCTGCAGGCTCAGAGGGTAAAGAGTTTGTATTATACTTAACCATAAAGCAGTAGTAGATCCAGTGATAAATAGACTTAACACTGGATCTTTCAAAAAAAATACATTGATTGAACTGCATCAGGCCATTTTCTGACCACCTTTCCTGTTGCAGCCTCACATTCTGGGCCTTTAAGATTGTAATGTTTTCATTTAAGGTAAATGAACATGTTTTGTTTTTTGTTTTTTCTAACAAGGCCCAGGACTCATACCCACAACAGCCTGTGCCTCCTGTGCCCCGCCCTAGTGAACTCTACTACAGCCGCATCGGGCCTGCTCTGAAAGCAGTGGGGCTGAGTCTAGATGTGACCAGACGAGACTGGCCTCTAAGTGTTATGAAGGAGGTGCTGAAAGAGTTAATGGATGCTACACCTTCTAACCTTCTGGCTAAGGAGCTGTGGTGTTCATGCACCACACCCACCGAGTGGTGGAGGGTCACTCAGGTAACTGTGGCTTTTAACATTTTATAAAAGGTGCGATGATTATTAAATAATTTGATTACATGATTAAATATATAAATGAGAACAGCTTTGTGAATTTCCCCCACTCAGCGTGACAGTTTCCACATGCATTCATGCCCAAATGTTTATATACACTTGACCATTACATAAGATCCTGTATTTCATGGCAGTTTGAGTTTCCAATGACTCCTGTAACTCAGAATAGTGATTGAATCATTGAAATCCACGTGTCTTTGTTATTTAAAGAAAACAATCATGCATGTTCATGTTTTGTTAGAGATTATCTGGAAATATGACAACATCTGCTGGATTAAAATATACACATAGCAACTTGGACACCAGTTTTGGTGATGTTGAAAGCTGTGGTAATCAAATGTTCCTAGTGACATGGCCTCTTAGCTTCTCTTGAGTAAGAACAAGTGACTAAAGCTGCTGATCTCTTTATGACACTTTAAGTAGGGCCTATTTGATATACTCATTAGATGCACAAGCATTACAGTGGAATGGTCTATGGAGCTCAACAAAGACCTGACAAATCAAATGATTGACTTGAACAAGTCAGGAAAGTAACTTGGAGCCATTTCAAAGCAGCTACAGATCCCCAAATCATCTGTGCAAACAATTGTTTGTAAGTATAAATTGCATGGTACAGCTGTGTCATTGCCACAATCAGGAAGAAAACACTAGCTATCACCTGTTGCTGAGAGAAAATTGGTCAGGATGGGCAGGATCAACCAGAACACAGGTGTTAGTGTCCACAATCAGATGTGGGCTAAGATACTGCAATGCAAGAAAGAAGCCATTCCTGTAGAAGCAGCACCTTAAGGCTTGACTGAAGTTTGATGCTGATGACATAGGCAAAGGAAAGGCCTTCTGGAGGAAAGTATTGTGGTCAGATGAAACAAAAAATAAAGCTATTTCGCCACAGCAACCAGAATTATATGTGGAGGAGAGGTTGTGGTAGTATTATGCTCTGGTGCTGTTTTGGTGCCAATAGAAATGGTTCTTTACACAAAGTAATAAAATAAGGAGGATTACATCCACATTCTTGAGGAAAACCTAAAATCATCAGCCAGAAAATTGGGTCTTGGGTGCAGTTGGATGTTCCAATCCAACCCAAAAGATACATCAAAAATGGTCGGCCTCTCCAAAGTCCTGACTTAAACCCCCCAAGAACCTGTGAACTGAAACAAGTGTACCAATTCTGTCAAGAGGAGTGGTCTATGGTACAACTAGAAAGTTGCCAAAACCACCTAATTGCGTATAAAATAGCCAGTGGACATTTAGCCAAATGTTAGCGTTGTTGTACGTATATTTTTGACTCAACAAGTTTTGTAAAATTTTTTGGAAGATCTGTTTATAAATTTATGAAAAAACAAAATGCATGATTGTTTTTGTGACAAAATCACATTTCATTCATTCCTTAATAGATGTTTAGGAGTTATACGAGTCATTGGAAACTCAAGACTGCCATGATGTACATGGTTATTACAAGTGTATTAATACTTTTGTTTAGCAGTTAAGTAAAATTGTCAGTGGCATGTAATGCTGCTAGGCTTTTTAGTTCTAGGGTCCCTTAGGAAATGGCAGAAGTAGAAGTTTTTATATCATACCACAGCTTTTACTTTACACCTCCAAACTTAACACAAGCACAAAACAGAATATAAATGGATATTCACCATATGGGACCTTTATTCTTTGTTTGTTTTTGAACCACAAACACACATCTTTATTTTATTTATCATTTTAAAAAAAAAAGCTATGACATGAAATGTTCAGTAACATCATCATTGATCAAAATACAGGCCTTGCATAATAGTCCACCATCGTTGTTTAGTTTGGTTCTTCTTTTATGTTGCAGTCCTACGCCCGATCCACTGCTGTCATGTCGATGGTGGGATACATTATCGGCCTTGGCGATCGTCACCTTGACAATGTATTGATTGATATGACCACTGGAGAGGTGGTGCACATTGACTACAATGTATGCTTTGAAAAAGGTCTGTTTTACTGGACACACACACACACACACATACACACACACACACACAAATCCTTTGAGCAGCCTGTTACAAAACTTGAGTGTCTTGGCAAAGTAAGTGTTAGTGGTTATAGGAAAAGGTGACTAAAAAAAACACTGTGCCTTTAACGAAGTGTGTCTGTGTGTGTGCGGATGTTTGTGCATATCATTAGGGAAGAGCCTACGGGTGCCAGAGAAGGTCCCATTCAGGATGACACACAACATTGAGACTGCTCTGGGAGTCACCGGGGTTGAAGGGATCTTCAGGATGTCCTGCGAACAGGTCACTCTCACATCACGCCCTCCCAGACCCTCTCTTACTTTACTGGACCCTATCAGATTCACACTGAATTGTTTTAATGTATATTTGTAATTTAGGACTTGTAAAACAATCTGTGCACTTGTTCAAGGCATTTGAAAAAATAATGTGTGGCACTTTGTTGCAATCTTGAGCAAATACAGACAGCTGGCAAATTGTTCTTATGGACCATTCAGTGACCCCTTGTGCCCTATGGAAATGGGAATTATCATGCTGGAAGAGATGACAATGCAATAATAACAATTCATCATAAGATAAAGATGATCACTCTGAAGAACTTTGTAGTTTCATTTGCAATGACTCTTCACTCTAAGGAGACAAGTGAACCCAGGCTATGCCACAAAAATGTCCTAAGCTTCAGATCTTCTCACTGTAGGGTTCAAAGAGTCAGGTTTATCTGTGAATTTGTCATCACTTTGTATTTTTGCTGTGTCTTGTGTGGAGATCCTGCTCTAACAAAAAAGGCTAAAGTCAGATGTTGCTATCCAGGTGGTACAGATTATGCGTCGTGGCAGAGAAACCCTTCTGACCCTGCTGGAGGCCTTTGTCTATGATCCTCTGGTGGATTGGACTGCTGGAGGGGAGGTGGGCTTTGCTGGCGCCGTGTATGGAGGGGGAGGCCAACAGGCTGACAGCAAGAAGAGCAAGAGAGAGATGGAGAGGGACATCACACGCTCTCTCTTCTCCTCTAGAGTGGCTGAGATTAAGGTACTTTAATGACAAAGGCATATATATTGCTATATACATTTCAGTATGTCATGGGGCTGTAGCCAATCCAAGAAAATCTTGGTGGACTTAAATCATACCAACACTCAAGCCCATAGATTGGTCGCAGGGGAGAAAAAAAGAATATTCACGTTATTTGTAGATTAACTATATAGTCCACAGTGCACTGAGCGCACTCTACCTGCATCTAGCCTTTGCTAGCCGCAATTATTTCTAAATGAATGTAAAAAAGCTACCATTTGCAGCATATCAAATCATTTGTACCTGGTTATTTTTAACAGAAACGATAGCAAAGAAAATGAGGTTTTTAGATGAGCTGTGAAATGCAAATAATTTTAGCGAAATGCAGCCACACCAATGACCTCTTTCACATGAGGTTAGTTCGGACATGAGTATGAGTATGGGGAAATGCTTGGGTGTTCTCAGGTTGTCTGTTCCTCCTGGCGCCAAGAAATCTGGATTAATCTTAGAAGGCTATTGTTGTATTGCTTTCCTGCTTATAGAAGTACCACCATACAATGAGAATTTTATTGCACAAGAGCATATTGACTTACCAATTGACCAGTTAACCCTGGAGACTACAGCCCTAGTCTTATTAAATATAGTATAAAAACATTTTAAATCATCTGCTGTGACTTTCCAGAGGTTGACCTCTTATTTCTTTTACATTTCATGTAATGAAATTAGTTTCATCAATGTTACTTTTTTGTTTAAAACTATTAATGGAGGCAAGAAAGGAGCAAGGTGCAGCCTGCTAGGTGTAGCAGTTAGAGCACCTTGTTATTAGGGCCTGACCAATATGGATTTTTTGAGGCCGATTCTGATATTTGGCAGAAAAAAATTCAGATAACCGATTAATTGGCAGATTAATTTTAAAAATGTATAATGAATGAATAACTTATTTTTTGGTCCCTTAACACTTACAACAACAAAGATTTGAATCACAGGCAGAACGTTTTACTGTTTTACAATACTTTGTCCTTTAGTATTTGTTTAACTTTACAACAAAGAGGAATTTTCAAGAACAAAAACATGCAACAAAGCATTAAGCATATTAAGTATTAATAAAAAAAAAATTAAAAAATCCAAATCAGATATGTCTGTAATGTGGGGTATTTTATTTTAAATTTGCATTTTGCATTTTTCTTTCTATGGAGCATGCATGAATATAGCTACCAGTTTTACTGGTGAATTTATCTTTAGATTTAGGCCATAGGTGTATGCTGTATATAAGCAACATAATGAGTGAAGTTACTGGCAAAACGTTATTCATGCAGCCCTCTGATGCCCTTTAACATTAAATCACATTTTCTCTACTTCATTATTTTCTTTGCCATGAAGTCATGACTCATATGAACCAAAATAAAAACTAGACGCCTTTCCCAGATGTCAAAACATGTCATTTTTGACAGAGTTGCATTTTAAATAAATGGTCACAGATAGTCCGACACTAATGTTACTCCATAACAACACACAGTGAGTTGCTGTTGCAGCCTGTGTCACATTATAGTATTTTCTGACAAAGTGAAACTATGAGCGACATGACATCATGACGGTTGCTAAAGACAGACAGTAATATTGATCATTTGAACTTTTCAGGCCTGCACTGAGTAAACCCCCTCCCCTCTGCACTCACATCACTCCTTCTTAATGCGCCTCAACACACAGCTGACTGAGTGATGAACGGTCGTTCTGTACTCTCAAATATTTTGTACTATGCTGTCTTTAAAGTTGATGAGAATAAGTTCATAAAAATATAAGTTAAATAAGTTAAAAAGTTGGATCAAAAGTTTAAAAGACTGTTTTCTGTAGTTCTCTGAAAAACCGTCAGAGTGAGCTCTCTATGCGGTGTTTTGGTTTCAGAATTTGTGGCAGAGTGAGTGATCTTACCGCTGTACGTTCGTTATCTTAATCTTTGTCATCTCTGTGAGCCAAGTTTGACTTGTTTAGAACAAGCAGTAGCGAAAACTGAGCTTTTCGTGGTGTTGCTGAAGTGTTTTTACACACCTTTGCCTTGGAGAATAATTGTCTTTTTACTAAATCAAAATTGTACAAAATGAATGTACGAAAGCTGCCAAAGACCAGTAAACCTCAAGAAAGGAAAGCCTCGAGTGGTTATTGAAGGAAGCTTTGGAATGTTAACCGGCTGTCTATCAGTGCAGGTCTACGCAGTGTGAGGGTAGCACATGTACACTTACATCATTTCTACAGTTACTCACTGGCTTTTAAGCTGTTAGCTAACGCTATGCTAGGTTATCATAACTAAAGCAATATTATTGCTAACATAAAGAGACAGGGGGTAACTTAAGCTAGGTTAGCACAACTTTAGCAATGCAACTTAAATAAAAAGCATGACCGAAGCACGGTCAGTCGTCATGACACATGAACTTAACACACAAGAGAATTAAAGTGAAACAGGAGACATGTTGAGTCATTGTAACAATTAATGTAATAATTAAACCCGCAGGATTTATCTTGCAGTCCTGTAATAAAGTACAACACTCATATGAGCATTTAAGGATTTTGGCTGTAATTAATGTACTGTGTGGACTGTGTGCAGGTGAACTGGTTTAAGAATCGTGACGAAATGCTGGCCGTGTTACCACAAGTGGAAGAAGCAGTGGACGAGTATTTGGTCTTGCAAGAGTTACTCTGCCAAGGAGAAAGACTACAAGCCAAACTTGGAGAGGAGATGACCTTCTTGGAGGGGGCAGAGAACCATCCAGACCATCTCATCCTCACCTTGGAGCAAAGGTCTGAGACAGGACAGTGTTCATTGGGGTTTCCATTTTAAATACATGCCAATTTAGTTTGATGTAAAAGAGAGAAAAAAGAGTACACTCTACGGAGCTAGGAATGCCCCCTTTAGCAGAAATAACTTCTTGTTGGTGTTTTGCATAATTGTCTTTGGCATTGGCTTGCTGAAATTCTTTCCCGCTCTCCAATGTAAAAGTCCTCCTGTTGCAAGTGATGTAAAGCTTGACTGCTTCCATTCCATAACGTTCCATTTCTTCTTTTTGAGCCATTCCTTGCTGTATTTGAAGGTGTCATAAAAGTGCTTACTTTCTTTATGTGATACTACAAATATACATTTATTGCATCTTTGTCTCTGGTATGTATCATCATAATTATTAGGCACTCTTTCAAAGATGCTCAAGTGTTTGCCTGCCCAAATGTGCCAAATCCAACAATTTCCATGTGATGTCTTTATTCTTTCACAAGTACATGATTATGGGAGTCAGGGAAAGGGCTTATATGTGTATGCAACATGGATATTTAGCTCCATATATACCTTATTCAACCAGCCTTCCTATTCACAGATACTCTGAACATACCCAGCTGCAGTCACGGCAGCGGACTGTGCAGGAGGCCATTCAGAGCAAGCTTGCTGACCTGGACCAATGGATCTCTCAGTACCAGGCAGCATTCTCTAGCTTGGAGGCCACACAGCTTGCCAGCCTTCTACAGGACATAAGCAGCCCTATAGATCTTGGTTAGTCCCACTGAGAATGATTTGTGATTAGCTGGGTTTTAAGGATGGACTGGTTGAAAAACAGTCATGTCTTCCTTTTTTTGTTTATTTTTTTTTAGGTATTTCTTAGGTTTTCTGTAAAATATCATCCCTCCTTTTTCAGCCAATTTTTTTTCAAATTATCTATTTAATTAGGAAAATATTAAGTGTTAAGCTTGTCTTTAACAAGGATAAAAAGGATTATGACTACATTTGACATTTAATTGAGGGTAAAAAGTCTATAACCTTATTCTTTAGGATCAGCACTTTTGCCTTCCTGTTTAGAATCCAGCTTTCTGCCAGAAAACAGTTAAACACATTTTCCATAAGATCTGCTAGCACTGTAGAATGTGATGAACAGGCTGGTAGTTTACGAGGCTCAGTTTAATGTCAATAAATAAGTATGGTAATAATTAATTGTTAAAATTTTACATGTAACATTTTATTTTACTGTGCTTTAGCTGTCCTGCATCTTGTTGTTGTCCAATTCCTCTAGGACCTCCGAGCTATGTGCCCGCTACAGCCTTCCTGCAGAATGCGGGTCAGGCCCACCTAATCAGCCAGTGTGAAAGCTTGGAGGCGGAGGTGAGCTCCTTGCTGCAGCAGCGCCGAGCAGCCCTTCGCAGCTGCCTAGAGCACCTGCACAGCTATGCCACAGTGGCTTTGCTGTACCCACGGGCTACCCTACTGTTCCACAGGACCCACCAGTGGAAGGCTTGGTTGGAGAAATTGCTGAGAGACATGAACATGGAGCACTGCCAGCACATCTATAGACAGTAAGGAACAACTGCAAGCTTTTCTTTCTGCTATTATGCAAAACACTTAAATGCTGCATGTGATAAACCGTATATTCTGAAACTGCTGAAAATCTTCATGGCTGACGCCCTACAAGGCCAGCCCTGGTGTTGCTCATGCTCTCATTGTCCTTATCATCTCATGGTTGAAAAGTTAAAGTCTGTAGTAGTTACCAAGTAGCAGATTATATTCCTTGTTGGAGCAGGGCTCTACAGTGTAAGAAGTTTGCTACCACATGTGAATGAAAAGTATTGCGTGCAAATGTATCAAATTATTTGGGCAATTCTCTTGAGTCTGTTTTTAGCCAAACACTGTTGAGGTAAAAGAAGCATGAATCTGTTGCAGCAGCAGAGTGTTTTTTTGACAGCTTAGTTTTACTACATATATTAAGAATATTTGACAAAGTTTTATTCCATCTCACTTAGAGGTTTTACCTGTAGGCTGCAAAAATCAGGCACTTGAAACTATTTCTGCCTTTTAACCTACAGAGTTCTACTGGATCTTTATAATTGTATTTGAACTCTTAGTGTAAAGAATTTTTGTAAATTTAAAAAGACGAATGCTAAGAGTTTTGAAAGGATTAAAATGAAATCAGATTGAAATGCAGATTTGATAGTGGTTTCAGGCTGAATAAGACTCTACTTTTTAATGCTCATTTCAAACATCTAGAAAAGTTGACGGACTTGTGCTGTTTGTATGTGTTAAACATGTATTAACCATCAAATACATATCTGAACAGAGGTAAACTCTATAATTTAGTCAATTAGCAATTAAGCATTTACCCCATTTCTTAAACCTTTTGTTTAAGAATGTATTGTGTGTGTGTGTGTTGTTTGCTTGAGATAATCTAACTGAAGTTGAGTAGATTTGACTCAGTAGAAATGACATGACACAAAGTTTTAAAAAATTCTTTGCACTGAGAGTTCAAATACAATTGCAAAAACAGATAACTCCACCTTCACAAACCTTCAGAAAACCCACTTTTCGTCTACCTGACGCAATATCAATCAAACTGAAGTTATCTGTATTGTTGTCATGTCATTATTATTTCAAGCAAACAACGAAAAAGTAAGTTTTCTAAAAATCTACAAAAATGGAGTTATCTGTTTTTGCAAATTAACTCCTCATATATATATATATAAAATCAGAGTTTCATTATATATATTCAGACAGTTATATATGTATATATATATATATATAAAATTTCCTATATGGCTTGCCATATATATATATATATACACACACATATACAATGCTTTAATGCTGCCACGCCTACCTACCTCAATATCAGTCAATATGCAAATATCAAAGCCACACTGCCTCCCACATCGCCCGGGTTAACAAATCCGTGTCATGTGCTGAGGAACCAGGGCGTCCTTATGGCAAAATGGCTACTGTAACAAGGCACAGGTTGACAAGAGACAAGAACCTGGAGGAGATGGAATGCTACCAGACAAGTAACCCGAGAGAGAGAGGTTACATGAGGAGGATGTGGGATAACTGGATGCTTCAAAATAACCCAAGAGCGAAAGGTTCTGATCATAAGGGACCCCCAGAAGGGTGTCCGATGTAACTACCGGTCAATAACCTGCCTCTGTATAACATGGAAGCTCCTGTCAGGCATCAGAGCAGCTAAGATAAGGTGGCACATGGTCCAATACATTTACAGCACCAAGAAGGGAATTGGTAGCAATATCAGAGGAGCCATGCTCCACTACTGGTAGACAGAGCAGTCACCCAAGACTGCAAAACCAGACAGACCAACTTGTACACAGCTGAACTCATTACAAGAAAGTTTAAGACTCAATACCACACATGAATCACGCCTCATTTATCATCAGTGCGCAGAAAAGGTTCTAAATTCTGTCTTACGAATGAAATTTAGAATGTAAGTACAAAAAAAATTATCAAACATGCGTACACCCACAGAGCTGTTCTGCACGATAAATGAGTTGTGCATTCCTTCAGGCCACCGAGCAACAACGATCGATAGCAACAAATGTGCATCGCAAATTATTTGTACGTTGACTGAGTGAAACCCTTTTCTATTAACATAATTAAATTTGTTTTGTGATGGTGCTTTGATTACGACGGGCAGTCTATGGCTTCAAAAATGTTTGGGAATCCAGCGATGGCGTGAAGTCCCCATTTGATTTCGGCTTGTTGGTGATGTTTGTAAGAGAACTGGATGTAGGCTGGGGCCAGGGGAATTATGGCATCCAACACTGTGTCGGAGCTGATCCCAATCTACCAGAAATCAGACTATGTGTGAGATAGCTCCTGCGCATTCATTTAATGAAGCAGTAGGAGAAGATATTTAGGTCTCACTCAATGTATTTATTTAGCAGATAGTTAGAGTTTATGTCAGGGCACGAAGTCTGACTGACTGCCTCTCCCTGATCCAGTGTACTTATACTTATACTGAGGATGTGCACAGAATGTGTTGCAGCTAGCTGATTGGTTCCTCCGTGTCCTTGGGCCTTCTTTCACCATCTCATGGGTGCAGAAACTTGCCACTCAGCACCCAACTGTTGAGCACCTTCAGTTCCTCCCTCCTGCAGATAGCTGCTTGTGACAGGGAAAGATGTACACAAACCATCAAATCCTGTTTCTACCTACGTTTTCTCATGCTGCGGTTGTTTACAAGTTATGCTGATTGTGCCTTAAGATTTAAAAAAAAAAGAAGAGATTAAGAGAATAATAAGAGATTATCAAAACATGGATCAAAAATATGTGATCCTAACAACTGCTGGCATGATCCTGCTCACTGATGGCTAGGTAATGCTGCACATGTCTCCAACCTCACGCTGGAATGTGCCGGTGGTCAAAAATCATTACAATGAGTAATGCAGGTCCTGAAGAGTCAGCTGAATGGGAGGAACAAGGTCCAGGCCGTGAACACATACACCCTAATATTTTTTAACACGTGTGTGTGTGTTTGAAGTACTCGTTTTGACTTTTTACTTTATTTCGAGGAACAAGAGTATTTGAATAGCTTGAATGAAACGTTGTCTTTTGTGTCAGTGGGGTTTATAGTCTCCACCACGGTCAGTTTTTGGTCTGCTGTGTATTTGTGTGTGTACATCACAAAGATGGGCACGGCATCAGCAGGACCATAAGTCTCATTAAAATGTGGTAAACAACTCTCAGCATAGAATAGTTTCTTTTTGCTTGATTTAGCTTTATTACTGTTTGTCTTCTAATGGGTTTTGCTCTCTCCCTTTACAGATATGAGGTGCTGTTTGGCCCCCAGCCCCCTTCAACCTCCTGTCAGTTCCTGTCCAGTGTGGAGTTAACTTTGCAGCACCAAGTGGCTGACACCAATGAGCGGATGATCCATCAAGCAGAGCGGCTGAAGGCTGAGGGGACAACTGTAGCAGCCTGCGAGGAGCAGCTGCAAGAGATTGAGCACTGCATTACAGTGTTCATACGGGAGAATGGAGACCCAGGCTCTCTCAGCCTCGCTGCAATCATCACCTCTGCCCTCTGCACACTTTGCAGGTTTAATGCACATCTTGGATTCTGTGTTTTACTTTGCTGTTATTCCACTAAGTCTTTTCACTAATGTAGCTAGTGGTACAACATTAATGAGTGGCACCATTGCTAAAATATATATATTTTTGTTTTACTCTTAATTCCATTTTGAGCATTTCTGCAGGCTACGCACACCACAAGTACATCGCATAGTTTGTGTTTGTTTGTTTGTTTGTTTTTTTGGTTAATTTGTTTTAGTGGTGGTGTTTTGAGTAGTGGTCCTGGAAAAAAAAAAAAAAAGCTGTATAACTTGGGACTGAACAAAAAGAGGTTATTGTGGGTTTTTTTTTTTTAACAGACTTAACCTGGTGATGGAGGGTGCAGCAGCCAGTGCTGGAGAGCAGCTAGTAGATCTCACATCTCGAGATGGGGCTTGGTTTTTTGAAGAGCTCTGCGGTATGATGGGAAATGTCAGTGCCCTGGCAACTCTGCTACAACGCTGCCCACTTCTTCCACATGACCTGGAGCTCCCTGCATCTTCAGCTACTACCCAGGCCATTTACATGGCCAATGGTGTGTACACCTGTTTGCAGGTAGGTGTACCCCAAAACCAGTTACAACTAGAAGTAGCATATTATCTTGTTTAATGGGTACAGAAATGTAGCTCTGGCAAGGAAAAACGAAAAAGGAATTTCTGACACCAAGCTTTCTTGTTGTTCATTTTAGGAACTGAACACCAACTTCCATCAGATCATTTTTCCAGAGGCTCTGCGCTGTATGATAAAAGGAGAACCCACCCTGGAGTCCATGTTGGCAGAGCTGGAACAGCTGGTGGAGCAGAGCTCTGATGGTCTTGGCCTGCAAGGTTTAGTAGACAATCTGGAGGCCACCACGGGGCTGGACCACGATGGGCACAACCACTGCCTCCACATCACCAGGTTGAATTCTTCTTATGTATTTCATCATACACATCATTTGCTTAACTGATTGTAAACCTACTCAGAATGTGGAGCAAGTTTAATGTACGGAAAATGTGTGTTTTTGTGCTCAGAATGTTGCGTGCCCAGTATTCTGAGCTGATACAGCCTCGCACCGTGGATGGACAGGGACAGGACTCACCAAAAATGTCTGCGGGTCAAATGTTGTTAGTAGCCTTTGATGGCATGTTCACCCAGCTTGAGACTGCCTTTGGGCAGCTCACAGAGAAGGTACCTCCACATTTTCACAAGTATAATAATAGGTCGTAAATAGCACACAAAAAAATGTTTCTAATGTTTGAGGTCTGTTGCTTAACAGGTTTTTAATTTTTCTAGTGCAAAATATATTTATATTTTCCATCTTCTTGCATCTATGCATTTATGTTAGCCCTCCTAGTTACAACACCAGAAGTGAATAGTCAGCCTACATGTTTCATGAAACCCAACTGTTCTTAACATAAAGCTACTGTTTTGTCAAATTCAAGCCTTTATCATCTTCTACAGTTTTGCAAGGACTTTGAAAACAAACATTTTTCTGTGAAGTGACATTTTTACACAGAGCATATTGTGGACCTGTAACTGAGCTTAGTACAGTATACTGTGGGAGAGGGAAGGTGGGCCAAAAAATTGCAGGTGCAGCCTTAAACAGGTCTCAAGCCACCAGTCTACATTATTTCTGTCATCATTTCCTGTCTAAGTAAAGGTTACTGTTTGTGGTTGTCAACAACACAGCTCTTACCCATTTCTTGTTTGCTCTTCATTATTCTCAGCTGTGTTCTTTGGAGGTTCCATTGTCCTGGAGGAAGGTGGATGTTCTGAGGGAGGCTCGGGCCACACAGCTTCACTTCTTTGACAGTCTGCATCAGCGTCAGCTGATGGAAGAGGTCTTCTTCCTCAAGAGACTACAAACTATCAGGGATTTCTTCAGGCTGTGTTCCTCCTTTTCTCAGACTCTGTCTGGTAAGACCTCCTCACTGTCACATTGACACTATGAACCCATCATGCTTGTCTCTTATCTGTTTTAGATTAATGTTATACAGAAGCTGTTTAAGAAATGCCTAAAACAATATTTTTTATGTATATCGTTTACAGCTCTTCCTTGTTGAGCTATAAAATGTTGGATTATCTTTTTACGCTTATAGAAAATTAAACTGTACTAGAGGGTTTTCCAGGGAGAGAGAATGAAGCTTTGGTAATTCCATCTTGTCTTGGTTGTCAGCTGATTGACCTGTGTTTGGCAAATCTTGTCAGGTACTTGTCCTCCAGCTGAGGACCTTTTGCCTACAAATGGACCAATTGGGTTGGGGAAGACTCTGTACCGGCAGCCCAGTGCAACAGGGTCGGGTGCGGCAGTGGTCAGTGAGGAACAGATGACCCGCCCAATCAAGGCCTTCACAGCTGAGTTTGTTCAACAGATGCTTCTAGGTCTGCCCAGTCAAGCTCTCGGTCTGGCCCTCTGCAGCACCCTCTCTGCCCTTGGTCTGGACATTGTTGCTCAGGTGGAGGCAAAAGACTTTGGCGCAGAGAGCAAGGTACGCGTTTGTGGCAATTTTGCTTGGAAATATACCTGTTTTAAAAGACAATTTATGAATTAACTTTGTCATTTTACAATACCATCAATGGCCTTGACTATTGTCATATCAATTCATTCCAGTCAGCCACTCATTATATATTATATTATATTTGTCTTGTGAATATAAGACCACAAGTTAGTTGTGGTCTTATAATAAATGAAGTAGTGAGGGTAACTTGAATTTCTTGGTCCATTCCCAGTTAAGCTTTTTCACACATTCCATATGTCTTAGATACAATTTTTCTTGTATTTTTTGATAATATTCTTTTTTACATATCCTCATATTGGTTAACTTTTTGAAGTTTATTTTCTGCATGACAAGTCATTGTCGATCGCTATGCTCTTCCACATAGTGCCAAAGAAAAGTGGGTGGGAACAATTTTAGGCCTATGGGCTCTAAACATGCATCTCAGAAAATCCAACTTCAGAATGCTGACACACGCCTCTCTGCTGACTTTTTTCCACCTTTATCCAAACTCAAAAGACATTTATATACATACTCCAATAAACCAAAACGTCAGGCTGCTTCTGGAACCTCCTGCTGGTACTTTACATACTTGCTTTTGCTCCCAGCAGGAAAAGGTTATTTTAAAGGTGGGGACCTTAAAAACAGGTCTTCTGCTGGTGCTTGCCTCAGACAAGCAAGTGGCTGAGATCCATGCTCTCTCAGTACACCCAGCATGACCTTGCTTTAAGTTCTTTTCAGGGAATAATAGGCGATCCTGTCTCCCAACCCTGATGAATTATTGAAAAAATTGGCGACTGCTGACTAACCCTCCATATCATTTGTAAATACTGTATGTTTTGTGTGTAATTTTACTTGGTCAGTCACTGTTCACTAAAGATAAACATATGCTATACATTGCATCAACAAAGTCATTGATTACTTTTTGCTTCTTGGTATTTGTCAAATCTGTAGCGAAATCTTGCAAATAACCATAACCTTCTGATTTGTCTTCTCAAGCAATCCCTCCGTCCTGTCTTTAAATTTTTCAGTGTTGATCAAGGTGTTTTGTAAAGAATTACAGACCTTTGCAAATGGCTCACACAAGCTGCAACATCCGTCATCATGTTGACATCCTAACCCGTGAATACATATAAGCAAGAGTTCTTAGAACACATGGGTCAGACCACACCCAGCTTAGAAGTTTGATTTCATTCTGATCCCAACCACACATCCTTGAAGTTTGGTGACGGCATCTTCCACAGTTATGATGCTCATGTTGACAACATTTCTCTACTGATCAACATATAAACACCTGCCAGAGTCCTCAAAACTGGTAGTTTCCACTAGAGTAGATGTGTCCTGGACCACATTTTGTCGTGATGATACACACACAGACTCACATAGACAAAACAGTACCAATTTCGCTATTGTTGATGGTAATGAAGAGAAAAAAGCAGTATGCTCATACTATCGACCCTGTGCCTGAACGGAATACTTATACTGGAAATACTGAAAATACAATTGCTACCCATATAAGTAACTGTTGACATCTATGCCATGCTGGGTAGTATGCATATGCACTTTTGCTGTTTTACTGTTTAAAAAGTGTACAAAAGACCTCTACATATCAATCAATATCTAGCTAGTACTCTGTTCTAAAACACTATGTGTCTTGACTCTGAAGGTCTCTCTGGATGAGCTGTGTAAGAAGGCTGTGGAGCATAGCTTGGCGTCAGGTCGGGTCTCCCAGCTGCTACTAAATAGAGCCACTGTGCTGGCCTCCTCCTATGACACAGCCTGGAAGAAAGTGGACCTGCTGAGGAGGTTGGACATCAACCTTGAGGCTGCCAAGGCCAGCCTGCAGAGGAGCCAGCTGCACATTGCCATGTTTCAGGTACTCACAGAAGTGTATGTAGATGCTTTTTTGAGCTGCGTTGAACACTAAATTAATGATTAGTATTTTATTCAGAACAATGACATGTTCAGTTGCTGTGGAAGATGTCATGCTCTGTTTTCTTTCAACAATTTCCCCTCCAGAATAAATTAAGTATTTCTGATTCATAACTTCATTAGCAGTAAAAGTACTGTTTGCTTGGAGTATATAGAGTTGGTACTAGCTGGATTATAAAGTTAATTTTTGTAGATAAAAATTCACAATGTGTTATCTAATAGCACTTTACATAGTAAGGCAAAGACCTTACAAATTTTAAACAGAGAACCCAATAATCTGAAGTTCCATCCCTTTGAGCAAGCACTTTGGGACTGTATAAAGGAACCAAAAAAAAACGTCCCTTTACCAGAAGAAAAAGAAAAAAAATCTCTGACAGAACTAGGGTCAGGGACGGCGGCCATCAGCGTTAACCAGTTGGGGTGAGAGTGTGGACAGAGGTGGTTGGGATTGCAGATGGAGAACAGACAAATGATACATAAGAATGCAATGAACATTTTGGAGGTCTGCATATAACCAGCACTTAGTTTTTGAATTTCAAGTGTCTCCCATACATAATCTGATCCAATAGTTATATTTACCTAAATGTTGATTAAATATGTGTGTGTATGTGTTTTTGTGTGTGTCCACTACCAGTGGCAGCATGAGGATGTTCTGGGCCCCAATAATCAGCCTCTAAGCGTCAGTATTCCTCCTCGTTCTGTGATCCTCAGCAACATGAAGAAGAAGCTGTATAAGCTCAGTCAGGATGAGGGAGCCATCATTGCCATTCAGGTCAGTCGTGCACCTTGTAAACCATCCTTTCTGGTCCCTCGTGATTTTGGACCACCCTGTTTGGACTGCATGTATGATGAAATAAAAGAAAATTATTGCTTAATCTCTCATCGCAATTTTAAAAAGTAGTAAGCTGTTTACACGGAAGAAAGAAACAAGAAACCAGCTACAAGCATGTCAAAATCAGTTTTCTTGCTGCTTTATCCCCCATATTGTGCATTTAGATTCATTGCAGTGTCACACCATATGTGATACAAGTTGCCAGTTTTGATTGGCTATTGACCATTTTATCGTCTTCAAGAGCCATTGAAATTCGGTGTCACTTCAAAGGAGAACGTATCCCAGATGTTGACTTGCTGGTGTCACAAGTTACACACATCCAATGGAAACAGTTTGAATGTTGGACATGTCATCTGTGTTCTTTTGCAAAAGAAATCTTGACATCTTTGAAAATTAACTGTATAAATAAGGCTTACCTCAATTGTTGGTATTATAAGTTATATATATATATTCTGATATATTATTTTATATTATAAGTATACAGAAGTTTTGATGTGACTGAAAAACTCCAGATTCAAATTAAATCCCTATCCTGTGTTGTTTGACTGCTGGTGTCCACAGGAGAAGCTGGCGTCACTGGAGGCTAGCATTGAACAGCGTCTAAAGTGGGCTGGTGGAGCCAACCCAGCACTGGCACCTGTCCTGCAGGATTTTGAAATGACAATCAGGGAGAGACGTGCAATGGTGGCCAGAGACAACCAGCGCACCAGCCAGGTAACACTGCTGCCATGCTGATGTTGTAGTGACCCCTTGTACAATTTAAGTAGCATCATTCCATTTCATCTACACCATTTGATGAGAGATGACTAATGCTGAAGAACATTTTATTGCTGTATTTTTCTAGGTCACCTTCTTGTGCTCCACTATCCTCAATTTCGAAAGCCTTCGGACCCGATCCCCTGAAGCTCTCAACATGGATGCAGCACTGTTTGAACTGCTGAAGCGCTGCCAACAAACTTGTTCATATGCTGCCCAGTTCAGCAGCACAGTGTCTCCCCTGGAGGTCCAACTACTGCACAGATTGGTGGGTTTAATCTGTGACTTGTCCACAGAGTCTGTATTTCTATTAGAAATATTAGACACTACTTTTCTGCAACTGTGTCAAAGGCTTTGTAACACATTTTTAAGTTATTACACACATGGACAAAATTGTTGGTACCCCTCGGTTAATGAAAGAAAAACCCACAATGGTCACAGAAATAACTAGAATCTGACAAAAGTAGTAATAAATAAAAATTCTATGAAAATTAACCAGTGAAAATCAGGCATTGCTTTTGAACTGTGGTTGAACAGAATTATTTTAAAAAATAAACTCAAACAGGCCTGGACAAAAATGATGGTACCCCTAGAAAAGACTGAAAATAATGTGACCATAAGGACATGTTCAATCAAGGTGTGTCCTCTAATTAGCATCACAGGTGTCTACAAATTTGTAATCAAACAGTCGGCCTATTTATACGGTTACAAATAGTCACTGTGCTGTTTGGTGACATGGTGTGTACCACACTAAACATGGACCAGAGGAAGCGAAGGAGAGAGTTGTCTCAGGAGATTAGAAAGAAAATAATAGACAAGCATGTTAAAGGTAAAGGCTGTAAGACCATCTCCAAGCAGCTTGATGTTAATGTGACTACAGTTGCACATATTATTCCGAAATTTAAGATCCATGGGACTGTAGCCAACCTCCCTGGACGTGGCCGCAGGAGGAAAATTGATGACAAATCGAAGAGAAGGATAATACGAATGGTACCAAAAGAGACCAGAACAACCTGTAAAGACATTAAAGGTGAACTCCAAGGTCAAGGCACATCAGTGTCAGATCGCACCATCGGTCGTTGTTTGAGCCAAAGTGGACTTCATGGGAGACGACCAAAGAGGACACCATTGTTGAAAACAAATCATAAAAAAGCCAGACTGGAATTTGCCAAACTGCATGTTGACAAGCCACAAAGCTTCTGGGAGAATGTCCTATGGACAGACAAGACAAAACTGGAACCTTTTGGCAAGACACATCAGCTCTATGTTCACAGATGCAAAAATTTAGTGTATCAAGAAAAGAACACTGTCCCTACTGTGAAACATGGAGGAGGCTCTGTTATGTTCTGGGGCTACTTTGCTGCATCTGGCACAGGGTAGCTTGAGTCTGTGCACGGTCCAATGAAATCTCAAGACTATCAAGGTATTCTAGAGAGAAATGTGCTGCCCAGTGTCAGAAAGCTTGGTCTCAGTCGCAGGTCATGGGTCTTGCAACAGGGTAATGACGAAAAACATACAGCTAAGAACACCCAAGAATGGCTAAGAGGAAAACACTGGACTATTCTGAAGTGGCCTTCTATGAGCCCTGATCGAAATCCTATTGAACATCTGTGGAAGGAGCTGAAACATGCCATCTGGAGAAGGCACCCTTCAAACCTGAGACAACTGGAGCAGCAAATCATTTGATTGCAGTGATTGCCTCAAAAGGTTGTGGCACAAAATATTTAGTTAAGGGTACCATCATTTTTGTCCAGGCATGTTTCATGAGGTTTTTTTATGATGTTTTTTTTTTTTTTTTAATAATTCTGTTGAACCACGGTTTAAAAGCAATGTCTGATTTTCATTGGTTAATTTTCATAGAATTTTTATTTATTATTACTTTTGTCAGATTCAAGTTATTTCTGTGACCATCGTGGATTTTTCTTCCATTAACCGAGGGCTACCAACATTTTTGTCCACGTGTGTAGTTCTTCGTCCCCAACTATCCATTAATTTCAGCACTTCATGGTCTGCTTCCTGCAGTAACTCCTGAAATGGTAGTGAAAAAAAGAAAAAAAACTCAAGTAAAATTATCTTTAGCCATATAAGGCTCAAGGTTCATTGAAAACATCAGCATCTATATTTTAAAGGTATCACAACCGCTGGCAGGAATGTGTATTGATTTACAAATGTTCTTGTACATTTATGTGCATGTAGCATAACTACATTTTAAGATTAAATTTACACTCAGATCTTTTGAATCAGGCCATCTGATAAACCTTTATCAGGCATATTTCACATTGAATATTCACAAAATTGATCAAATGTAATATTTTATTCAGTCTATAATCAGAAGTCATGAACTCTGATTTTATTGACCTCTAGTTCCCAAACAATGAATAAATGAATGAATGAATGCATGCAGTTAAGTAATCACTAAATAATTTGAATAATTAACATCACTGGAACCAATTGGTAGAGCGATGATTAATCTAGAAACAGTTTAGAATTGAGAAGCCAAATTGACCCATTTAGCAGACAGAAAGCAATTGTCTAATAGCCTTCAAATGAAGCTGCAGGATCAGTGTGCAACCTCAGAACCAGGAGGGACAGAGAGGGCCACAGCAGGTTGTGTCAGTGGAGATCTTCTGGATATGCTGATTCAGTAATGCAGAAACTATGCACTTTTGTATAGTGTCATTGAACAAAGAAGACATTTGCAGTATTGCAGTAAATAAGTTCCATAAGAAGCCCGATACTTAAGAAAGAAAAGCCCCCATCAAAGTAGAACACATCATAGTAGAATCCCCTGTTAAATCCCCGTGACTTTGTGTTATACAGAAAGTTTTACAAATCATGGGTGTGTTTGGGTGTTAATCTTCACTGTCCATGAGAGGTCAGAGACCAGATACCTTTAGAAACTTACTTTGAGTAAATTTCTTAAACGTGTAGATTGCAGATCTGAAATCCCTTTGAACTGATGATTATAGTATTAAACACAATATGTTTATCTCGCACAGTTTCTGATATAATAAGAATAGGTTTAAGCAGGCATATGGATTGTGAATTTTCATGATACATTATCGTAAACTTTTAGTATAACGAAGAATACAAGCATTTACATTCAACAACAAGAAAAATAAGGCTGTAGAATTATACATGCTGAGGATAATATCTCTCTTTATGTCTTCTATGGCAGTGACAGAGAGAAGGGAGATGTTGGAGTCTTGTGTGTGAATCCTCCACAAACACTTACTGTAGATTTGAGGTTTTCTATTCAATGCTGGTCCTAATGACCAGGATTATTGAGTCCAGATTTTAGGTACATCACTCCAGTGATGTTAGAGTTCCTTAATTTCCCGTTCAGTTCTTTCTTCTATTGAAAGTGCTGGGACATCCTGTTATTTCCATGAGGGCAGTAAAAGGTCACTTTGTAGACACAGGACTAATGCAGATGTTCCATTTGATCAAGGTTTTGGATTTGGTGTCGTCTGTCAAAAACCGCAGAAGCCAACTTTAAGCTCTTTGTTTGTTACTACAGAGTCCAGTGTCAGACCTGGCCATAGGCAGTCCTGATTGGCTGAGTTATGCCCAGAGGCAGCTGAAGGAGGAGCTGAGCATTGAGCAGAGGACTCAGGAGGAGCGGGAACAGCAGCTGGAGTCCTGTGGAGAGACACTGCAGCTGCTGGTTGACTCCATTAAAACCATCCTGTCTAACCACAACCGCCAGCTGGCTGATGTCAAGAATCTTCTGAGAACTATGGCTAAGGTACACTTGAGTCCAACAATTGTTCACGAAAAAAGTGTCAAGTTTTTTTTTTCCTTTATCATTGATAAACATTATTTGTTAGTAATTTGGAAAAACTGGACAAAAAACAGATTGAATCAACTTTAAATAAAAAATGTAAAGTGTGAAAAAAGTAAAAAGGTCTAAATAATTCCAGAGTCAGTTTCACATAGCTGTGTGTGACAGTACATGGCTTTTTTTTTTTATACAGTTACACGACATATTAGTTTTAGCTGGTACCCACTAGTCCTTTGTTAATTTTGTCATACAGGATGAGGAGGCAGCATTGGCAGATGGTGAAGAGGTGGCATATGAGGGTAGTGTGCGTCACTTCTTGTTGGAGTACAAAGCTTGGCAAGACAACATCCAGTTAGTCTTGTTCACTGTGGTCCAGGCCAGTGGGCAGAATCGCAACCAGGAGCAACTTGAACTACTGGAGGAGATTCCTGCTACGCTGAAGGAATTGCACTCCCAGTGCCAGAGGTACTCACACTCATTTACCCATTTTCTCTCATTCATTCACTTTTGATATTCCTGTATAAATCTCTCATTTTTCTGTATGTGTGTGCATTACAACAGTGTCTATAATGGCCTGGTCGACTTTGCCTCCCCACTGGTGACAGAGAGAGATGGTGAATGTGCCAGTCCTGTTTCTGCAGCACAGACAAGCTTTGCAGCAGGTATGGACTACCAGGAAAATGTATTCCTCTGACACCTTAGTGACTCTCTAGGGACTACATACAAGTATTTTGTGATGGTCAGGATCTTCTTGACATTTGACCAATGAATGACATCTACCACTGCAAACACAGACCTTATTGTTACTACAACCTGTGTAAACTTGTACCAAGTTATATGTGGTTTGAATTCAGCTGTTAGATGCAGTGGAGTGAAGACCCAGCCAGATTCAATGTCCCAGAATGCACGCAAGGCTCTGCCACGTAACCTGGGAACCCCCACTGATACCCCACCCAGCACTCTGCAGATGAACAGCAAAGGTTTCAACCCCAGCCCCAAGAGGGCTGTACGAGACCCCAAAACAGGACGAGGTACTGTTCTTCACTCTCATCACAATGCTCTATGGTTAGAAACCTGTTCAACTCCCCAGCTAAGCAGATTTGTAAGGTCAGAAATGGTTGGAGAGTAAAGAGTTGTTAGAATTGGATTTTAGATTTACAAGTGAATGAGGAGCAGTATGAATGATTACATTAAAATCCAACTGCACTCTTCTGAATCTGCTGCTTGTGATGTAGCTGTCCAGGAGAGAAACTCATACGCAGTCAGTGTGTGGAAGAGAGTGAAAGCCAAGCTTGAGGGCAGAGACATCGATCCCAACAGGAGGATGAGCGTCACAGAGCAGGTAACGCACAGCAATTTTTTTCCAGCAATAAAAAATGCACTTGTGAATTTAATATATACTTACTGTTCTTTACATATTTTTTGTGTTGTCATTGCTTATTTTTTTCTAATGCTTAAAAAACATTTCTGCACTTTGTAACACCAATAAGCCAGCCATCTTCAACAGCTCCTGCTTGGAGATGCTCAATAAATGAGTCATGCGTTTCTCCAGGTCACCGGGCAACAACGATAGATAGTGACAAATGTCGGAGATTCTGAAATCAAAATTGATATCCTGATTCCAGCATAGCGAACGAATAGTCGGCTATTTGGCTATTCGAATCCAGCGATGGGGTGAAGTCCCTGTTTGATTTCGGCTTGTTGGTGATGGCTGTAAGGGAGCTGGATGTAGGCTGGGGCCAGGGGAGTTGTGGCATCCAACACTGCCGGCATGATCCTGCTCACTGATGGCTGGGAAATGCCGCATATGTCTTCAACCACATGCTGGAATGTGCCGGTGGTCAAAATCCCTGAATGCTTTCTATTTGTAGTTTCACTATTCTACCACTAGATTATGTGCGTAAGCATGGTCAGAGCTGTGCTTATATTTTTGCACATTCCTGCGTATAAGTACAAGTTGATAAATTCCATACTTGTTGTGGGAGTGATTGTACGCACTCACTACGCACACATCTGTGCGTACACATTGATGATAAATATATCCCCTGGTTTCCCACACTAATTAACGTCTGTGGCAGCTGGCATGCAGTCAGTTTTACTCGATGCTGTCAATCACAGATGCAGAGAGAGTTTTCTTCCTGATACAGGATGGGGACTCGGGATGAGTTGCCGGCTCAGTTTTTAAAGTCGCCCTGGGGTGAAATTATAACCCTAACAGCAGAGGATTGATAAGCTCCAACGGAACAGTTCCGCTAACGGTACTGCAGAAAGTAACAAGAACATTGTGTTGCACATATTATCTCATTGATGGAAGATGCGTCTCATGTGTCTGTGTCTGTCTACGATGCACTTTTGCTTTCCAAATCACATAAGTAGAATTTTCATAGCTGTGGGTAGAAATTCTCTTGGCTTTAGCATTTTTTTTCATGAACTCAATTGTGATTAAGATTTGTAGCACACCCCTATTGACACTGTAACTGTCCAAAAGAGAAGCAGGGAGATTTTCAACAAACTGAATTATATGAAGTGTTAATTTAATAACAAAAATGATAAATGCACTGGATCAAGTTTTCCTTGCCCCCGATTTTACTCAGAATCCTTTTGAACATTGAACACAACACTTAATACCAAGTCTTACCTGATAGGTCATCTGATCTTAATCTGAGAGTCAATTTCCACAGGTTTGAGATTTTTTATTTTTTTTAATCCCAATGTTGACAAGTTGTAAAAGCATCCATCTCTCCAACACACATTTGTAATTTTTACTCCTCTCGTAGTAGAGCAGTGTGCAGAAATATCCACTCGCTTCTATTAATATAGCTGTGGTTTGTCTTCTCTGTTGCAATGACAGTTGCACTGGAATAAGTCTCAACTGAAAGAATCCAGAGTGCAGTAAAGAAAAGATCAGATTTCGAGTTCATTTATATGTTGTCATAATAAGAAGGTTGAACTTTGGCCTCTGAATAAGAAGAAAGTAAGACAGTTTGTAAAGACTGATTTCCGAGCTCATGGACTGTTGTTTTGTTGCAGGTGGACTTCGTTATCAAGGAGGCTACCAACATGGACAACCTGGCCCAGCTGTATGAGGGCTGGACTGCCTGGGTGTGAATGCCATGCTGCTTCATGTCTTTGGTCCAGCGAAGGCTTGGAGATCCACCAGAGTCCAGTGGACTAAGGTGTGGGAACAGCAGCAGCGGGCCACACTAGGGGGAGGAAATGGGAAGCGGATGCTTACGCCGCCCTCCCAAACTCCTGGGCACCCAAACTGGGGCAGCGACCTCGTAGCATCGCTGCAACCACACTCCCCCAACCATCGGCGATCGGGCTAACACAACGCTTAGTGGGCCTGCAGACCCGCCTTGCTTTTTGGGGTTTGAGTGAGCAAAGCAGCATCAGAAGGGGGAGGGGGGAAGGAGGGCAAAGGCCTCTTCACTCTAAACTTGGAAGTAGCTTCCCCCCTCACCTGCATAGCTCACTATCAAGTTGTACCCATAAACAGCACTGCATCCTGTTATGCCCATCAAACTCCACCTACGGGCAGGATGAAGCAGGAAGTGAGCTGTGTCCCTCTGCAGCACACAGCACTGGGTGGGACTTTACCAGGGCTATAGCTCAGATGGATGGGCCATTTACATGGCAACATCTGTTTTTGTCTAATCTTTTCCTTAATGGCGTTGTGATTCTGATAGGCCAGTGGATGACACGGTTGGCAGGAATGATGAAATCAAAGGTTCAATAGGATTCTTAATTTTACGTGGACATCAACCCCAGACCTAAAATGAAAATGGGAAAGAATAATCAAACTGCTTTGATTAATGGACAGTAAAGACATTCACATGTCTCTGAGGTGTTGTCATATTTCACTGGGAAAGAAGATCATAAAGTGGAAATGTTTTCTTAGGAAGGTTCCTTGTGCTTTGTGGATAAAACTGAAACATCCAGTCGTTTGAAACAGTTTTGGATGACTCATTTGTCAGCTTAGAATGAACACAGTTGAAGTTACTTAGACTTGGGAAAACCTCTGTTTAATTGTTTTTCTTCAGTGTGGCTCTTTTGTCTGTGTGCTTTGTAACTATCTTTAGGAGTAGATCTCTGCCTTTTTTGACTTGCCCGTTAGAACGTGTTGCTTGCATCATACGCATTTACTCCCCAGCCCTAATGTTTGCATTTTATGAATCTTGACTTTCTAGTTTTACATTTTTATTAGGAGAAATTCAGTTTTTGGTGATGGTGAAACATGATATTTCTTAAAGCTTTTATTGGATTTTGTTGGATGCCAAATAAAGATGGAACTAAGAAGTCCTAAGTGTTTTCTTTGACAGTTCTAATTTTTTGATCAGTTTGATGCTACAGATCTAGGGATGCTTAACTCTGCTGAGCTGTCAAGGGACCATTGAAGAACCATTGAGAAACACTGTCCTAGAAAATAAGGCAGCTGTTTGTCTTCTTCTGAAAAGGTCTATATAAAAAGGAATGCTCTTGAATGTATTGAGCTGACAAACATTGTCATTTAGGTCAGCATAAATTAGGATCAGATAAAGGTACAAACTGCTGCATCACATGGAGACCTACTGTGAAACAGCATGTGCAAGTTGGAATTCTTTTTCTCAGAATTGAACAGAAACAAGGACAGGAAGTAATCAGTGTTTGCTGCTGCTTCATAGCTTTGACTCTGGTGTGGTCTTTCTTATCATGATTTAAACATTACAGCACTTTCCACTGCATGTGAGCAGTTAGCTGTTGTCTTAAATATGCATTTTTAAAACACATCAACAAGAGGAATCAAAGTTCACAAGCAGCCACCCCTATCTCATACCACAGAAATAATATAAACAGACAGGATACAAAGGCCCAGAACCTAAGCGCAGACTTTATCTTGTGTAAACTGAGAAGGGCAAACCAAAAACTCCCATCGAAGTCATGGTGACGAGGAAGAGGCTCGTGGCTCCTGAAGCCTCCAGCAGGTTAATGATTACAGCAGCTCTGCTTATTATAGCTCATCCTGCACTGTGTGTCAGTGACGGACAGCAAGTTGCCTCAGTGTGTTGGTGGTTAAGTGGGCAGCGATGGCAGGACAGCGCGTGTGTGTGTCGGACTTTGAGGAACAAGCCAGGAAAGTGCTTCCTAAAGCTGTGTATGACTACTACCGCTCAGGAGCTGATGAGCAAAAAACTCTGGCTGACAATGTGGCTGCCTTTAACAGGTAAAACATGCACAAAGACACACACAGAGGCTCTTTTGGACACAGTGTTAGAGCATGAAGCCAAACAACTGAAATGACAGCAGATGTTAGTGTGACAAAGAAAACACGGTGGTAGAGTTTGTTCAGGATGCAGAATACCTTTATTTCAAACAGTTTATGTGTTTCCTTGTTTTTCTGCTGTATATGTGTGAACAGACAACTTCATCTTAGCTTGTCTCGCTGAAATGCCTTACATCAAACTAATATTTATCTGTGTTTCATATTAGACAGAGGTAACCCATAACACAATGCAGTTTTTAAATGATAATTTATTGGAGATTTATTGAAAACCTATATCACTCCTGTGGAAGAGTAATTGCTCCCCTAAATCTAATAACTGGTTGGGCCTCCCTTGGCAGCAATAACTGCAGTTAAATATTTGCCATAGCTTATGATCAGTCTATGACATCACCATGGAGGAAAATGGGCCCACTCTTCTCTGCAGAATAGCTTTAATTCAGCCATATCCGATGGTTTTTGAGCATGAACTGCTTTTTTAAGGTCTTGCCACAGCATCTCAGTTGGATTCAAGCCCTGGCTCTGACACTGCCACTCCAAGCCCTTAATTTTGTTCTTTTTGAGCCATTCAGAGGTGGACTTGCTTGTGTGCTTTTGATCATTGTCATGCTGCAGAACACATTTGTGTTGCGCTTTAGGTCATGAACTGATGGGTGGATATTCTCCAGGAGGATTTTCCGATAGAGAGCACAATTCATGGCTCCATCAGTAATGACAAGTCGTCCAGATCCTGTAGAGGCAAAGCAGCCCCAAATCATCCACTCCCACCGCCATGTTTCATTGCTGGTATGATGTTCTTGTGGAATGCAGTATTAGCTTTATGCCAGATGTAACGGGACCCATGTCTCCAAAAAGGTTCTACTCAACAGTCCACAGGATGTTATCCCAAGAGTCCTGGGGCTAACTTGTGAGTGAAATTGAAATCAATTGCTAATTAAATTTGGTCATTTGGTAGATTGGTTGCTAAGGGGGCAATTGCTTTTTCACATCAAGCAAGGTGGGACTGGACAACATTTTTCCTTTTTTAAATGAAATCATGATTTAAAAACTGCATCTTGAGTAGTCTTGGGTTATCGTTGTCATACATTAAAATTAGTCTGATGATCTGAAACTTTTAGGTGTGACAAATATTCAAAAAGAGAAGATATTGTAATTCTGCAAACATCCGTTGTATTCATATCACAGTTGGTAAAAAAAAAAAAAAAAAAAGAAAGAAAGAAAGAAAAGAAAAGAAACCAAAAAAAAATATTTAAATGGTCCGTAACACACATATGTCAATAAAGCTTTAAGTTCATATTAAAAATGTATCAATTATTGTATAAAAGTTAAACAGAATATTAAATTTGTCTTACTGTGAGGACATGGTGAGTAAAATGCTTGATTTAAACCTTTAATCAAACTTCTTTTTTAAAAAATATCTTAACAAAAAAAAAACATGTCAGTGAAAGGGAAGTGTCACAGCCAGCCCAAGACGCAACAACGCTACAAATAAACATTTTACCAAAAACAAAGGAAAATGTGCATCAAACAATATAACGTGGACGTTTCACATGGAGTGTGCACACATCTGCCTCAAAAAAAAAAAAAGGGGCAACAAGTTGTGGCAGGACAAGTCACGGCTGCTTCACCATGACAACGCGCCTGCTCACAATGCCCTGAGCATCCGACAGTTCCTGGCTGAGAAGAACATCACCGTGCTGGAGCAACCTCCCTCCTCACCCCACCTGGCTCCGTGTGATTTTTTTTCCTCTTCCCAAAACTCAAGGGGGTCATCAAGGGGACCCATTTAGAAGACATGGACGACATCAAGATGGCTGTGACGACAGATTTGCAGAGGATCCCGGAAGAATCCTTCCAGGAGTGCATGGCGGTGTGGCAGAGAACGCTGGGAAGTGTGTTTACTTCAAAGGGGAAAACTTGTAGTTTGTAGTTTAGATCTGAAATATTTTTTTGTGACACATGTCCTGAAACTTTTCTGACACCTCGAACTGCCGATGTGGACACCATTTATTGTATCATAATGCTGTGAATAGTCATCAGCTTTCCCAACCCTCGCTTAGACATCTGTTTAACTATACCTACAATTTATTTTAGTCAACTGCTTCTGCTACAACCAGTTTGTCCATGTCATCATACTCACCAATCCTGGTGTAATCCCCCCAATAAGCCCACCAATCTCCATCCTGCACACAGCAACCACCAATGCCTGGAGAAATGCTTTAAGAGTAGTGGAGAAGAAACAGCCATGAGACCAGACAATGTACACATGGAGCAGTAAGCATAATCTCACAAACCAGGTGCTCTGAAAAAGCTTCAGTCTCAATGTTGTTTGGACCTTTAATGTGGAGAATGTCAAGCAGTTTGACTGCAAGAAAAAAAAGAAACATTGCATCAATCCGCAGTTTGGACAATGTAGTGAGTTGAAGGTTTAGGGGTTATGGTAATCATTGAATGGGCACGGGTAATCATTAAAAAAGAGCAGACAGATCAGTGCACTGCTCCCTGGAAAAAATGTCTAACCTAAGACTATAAGTGACACAATTTCTCAGTGTTCTTTGAGCAACCTTGCAACAGGGTCTTATCAGGCATAACCACCACATTATCCTCATGAAGTATAGAAGAGTTGTCAGTCGGATGCTTGCCTGCATCTACGGCTAACACAGTTTTTACCAGCCTGCGGCTGCACTCTTTCCTCTGCTTCACAGGACTGTAATTCCAAGGTATTTATTTTCATTTTTATCTTTATTTTTATTTTTTTATTTAACCTTTATTTAAACAGGTGAGTCTCATTGAGATTGCAAGATCTCTTTTTCAAGGGAGCCCTGGCCAAGAGGGCAGCAGCACCAAGTTACAGTTACATACATCAAACGTTTAAAAACACATACATCGTAAAACATACAGTAACAACTCACAAAGGAAGGCCTAAACAGAAGGAATCCTAATTGGCTAAGACGGAAAGCATTAACATATTCCAATGGAATTTGCCTCGATACCCTTCACCACATTTTTAAAAGCCCTAATCGGGATCAGCTCTCGTAGTTGTAGTTCAGTCTGTAAGTGATCCAGGCTGTTTGGCAAGATCAGCGCAACCCTTAGGGACAGTCAATAAAAGGATGTCATTCAAGCGCAGACAATAATTACTGGTTTTAAGTAACATATACCCACAAAAGTAAGAGGGGAGCAGACCAAGGATGGATTTCTAAATAAAATGATACCAATGTGTGAGTCTACGTATGGTCAGGGAGGGCCGCTGAACTCTGGCATATGGGGTGCAGTGGTGAGTGAAAGCCTGTCAGCCTGTGACGAACCTCAAAGCGCCATGGTGCACAGCGTCCAGGCAATGCAAGCATTGGGCAGGGGCATGCATATACAGCAGATCTCCTCTAGTCAAGTACAGGGAGGAATGTAGCCTCAACAAGATTTTTCCCTGTGCATCTGCCAACCAGATTTCTGCTAAGATCTAAACCTCTGTTCATATGCCTTTGGCACTGAAACACTGCAGCTTTGACTGACATGTAGATTTTACTGTTGCTTCCTGTGCCTTACCTGTAAAAATGCTTTCAAGTAGCAATGTATGCTCATCATTAGACCAGCCTCTACTCTCAGCCACTAACTTAAAGAGTGAAAAGAAAACATATCTTGGTCTCATTCACAAAACTGAGGGAACCAAATGCACTGGACACATCAAAAGAATTTGTCCTATGCCTAGAAGAAAGTGTTAGCACTAGCCTTGCTACTACGAAAAAGAAGCAGTGTATCATATATATCTTTAAAAACATGTCTAAAAAGTCTAAAAAGTCAACTTAAATGTACTTTGTTACATTCCAACAGTGCATATTGCCTACTGACAACAACCTAACTGACTGTTAAAACACACCTGGCATGCCAACTTGGATGGAAACCTGTTCCCAAGCAAAAGACTTTCCGTACCAACTGAAGTTGTGTCAGTAATTCTATAATTCGCACAGCTCTCAATGCTATGTAGGAGCTCTTTCCAGGGTGTGGTACCATCATACTGACCAGTAAGATGTAGACTCTCTC